CAAATAACGTCATACCGAGTTACAACCAATATATGCAGAAGAGCATCTCTGAATGCACAATATGCTAACACCAGGTGTGACCTCTGTCAGCTAAGAACAGGAAACTGAGGCCACAGTTTTTATACACTCACCAAAATTGGACAATAGAAGATGTTGCCTGGTCTGCTGACTCTTTATTTCTGCTGCAACATTTGGATAATGTGGTCAAAATGTGGTGTAAACAACATGAAAGCACAGATCCACCCTGCCTCGACTCAATGGTTCTGGTCAGTGGTGGTGTTGTAATGGTGTGGTGGATATTTTCTTGGCACATTTGGGCCCATAGTACCAACTGAGCATTGTTTAAATGCCTCAGCCTATCACATGTTGCCAACCATGCCGATCCGTTTAGACCACAGTGTACCCATCGTCTGATAGCTATTTCCAGCAGAATAACGCACCATGCCACAAAGCTCAGATCATCTCAGACTCGTTTTGTGACACGACAATGTCACAATGTCACTGTACTCATTTGGGCTCCACATTCACCAGATATCAATCCAATAGAGCACCTTTGTGATGCGACTAAGCAGGAGATGCTCGTCACGGTTGTGCAGTCTACAAATGTGCAGCAACTTTGTGATGCTATCGTGTCATTTCCAGCACCTTGTTGAATCTATGCCATAATAATTAAGGCAGTTATGAGGGCACTATAAGGTTCACTCCAGCACTGGCAAGGTGTACCTAATGAAGCGGACGGTGAGATTATAAGCAGGCTGAAACTGTTTAAATAGGATGCCAATTTGAGACTCTTTTATTCCCCAGTAAAATTCACAGAAGGTAATCAGCTGAAGATTTAGCTAATGTGGCTGACTGACTTCAAGTGTTCAGCATGCCAGAGGTAGTGCTATGCACACCTGGTCATCATTTAGTCTTGGTTTAAGACTTCCCAGTGGTCATACAACAGGTGGTCATACACTTAGACAAGCTCCATTCACTGTGGAAGACCATGAGATGATACTGAAACAAGTTGATCTTTTATTAAGATTTTAATTAAGAGCTAAAAGACTTTTTCTTTATCTAACTTTCAGTGAAGATTGTCATGTAAATGTAATAATATTTAACCTTCCCATTTGTTGTTTATATGTTTATGTAGATTCAGCACATACTAATGCTCAGCAGTCCCTTTAGTTCTTAGACAGCCCTTCATTAGGTCTTTATACATCAGAGACAGAGTACAGAAAAAGCACATAACACAAAGACAATTAAATAAATGACTCAGACAAGTAAATTGCCCTTTTTGAAATGTGTCCCTTTTAGGATGTCAGTGAGTTTTCCCACAAACTGCTTGACTGGCTCGAAGATGCATTTCAGCTGGCTGCCAGTGGAAAGTAAGTTTTAAGCTGATGGCACCCAGCGTGTTTTGTCATTGTCATCTTTAGTGCACTACTGCTTGCTAAATTAATTTAAAATAATGCCATGTTTTACTTTTAGAAATGCAGAAGATAAACAACATAACCCCATGGTCCAGCTCTTCTATGGTACCTTTGTGACAGAAAGAAGACACGAGGGTATGAGTTAGTTTTTTTTTATTGGTGTTGTCTATGATTTTCAGTCATCCCCTGGTATCTATGTGATTTTCTTTCTCAGGTAAGATGGTATATAATATTGAGCAGTTTGGCCAGTACCCCCTGCAAGTCAATGGCTTCAACAATCTTGATGAATGCTTAGAAGGTGCTATGGTAGAGAAGGAGATTGAGTCGGTTCATTCAGAGCATCATGTCACATCTGGACGTGAGGTGAAGAATTTGATAAACTTAAATTTGAATCTCTCTTTGTGCAGCACGCTCAGCTAGAGTTTGTGAAATTTAATGATCTGCTAAGAAACTCTTTATTTATTCATGTTTTCAGAGATGGTTTAAAAAGCTACCACCAGTCTTGACATTTGAACTTTCGAGATTTGAATTCAACACCCAGCTCGGGCGCCCTGAGAAGATACATAAGAAACTGGAGTTTCCTCAAATCATTTATATGGACAGGTGAGTTTAAAACAGAGGTGGATGGTTCCAGACTAGGCTTGTTGATAACTTAGGCCTCGGTAATTTCCACCAAAATGGTCATCCAACTTTATTCCATTGGTATTTTATGATGTGTGTATGGTGTAAATATTTAAATAGAACTTTGCCACGTTTTTAATTGTAGGAATCTTCTTGTTTTTGTGGTTACAGATATCTTCACAAAAACATTGAGCAGACCCATGAGAGGAGAGGAGAAGTAAAGAAACTAAAGGAGCAACTGGCAGTCCTTCAACAGAAACTTGAGTGGTAAGTGACTTGAAAATGTTGTTTTATTCTTTCTTTTTTTTAAGGTCAAATCTCCATGTAATTATCTGCTGTCTTTACTCACAGTTATAAAAACTATGGCTCTGGACCTACAAAGTACCCTCTAGCTGACATGCTCCAGTTTGTGCTGGAGTTTGCTACCACCAAGCCGACTAGCGTTTCCCCAGCTGAAGACTCGAGACAGGCCGCATCGTCACCGACTCCTCCAAGTGCCCCCCTCAGTGAAGCCATTGCCAAAGAAAGCAGGTGTTTACCATTTTCAACTCTACTCTTCTTGTATAGAGCAACAGCATTATACTCACCGAGGCCACAAGTGGGATCTCGAAAATGAAATAATCTTTTCATAGATTTAATTTATTCTCAGTTAGTGTGGTTCCACACAGTCCTCTCTTTAAATGGGACATCCTGACATGCTTGCAACTGCTGTGTCGTTGTTCTTGCCTTCTTTAGTGATCCCGGAGAATCAGTTTCATCAGAGAGCCTGGGTTCCAGTGTTTCCAGTTGCCAGAGGACCCCCATATACAAGCCCTTCACTCAGTGCAGACAACCTATTGACTGCCCACCACACCCAGCCCCCCACAGCATCACAGAAGAAGAGCTGCACTTTGCTAAAACCTGTCTTCAGCGTTGGAGGACTGAAGTTGAGAATGACATAAATGGTATGCTAATGATAATTCTCTTTTTATACTCACATTGATATTACCTTAAAGATTTACTCATATTGCTTTGTAAGCATCATATGAAATCATAAGATCCTTCAGCTCTCTTTGCGTTGTGTTTTCAGTTGTTAAGCTGCAAACGATTTGTCTTTTGGTGCCTTGCTTGAGGGTTGATAAGTTCAGAGTGAGTAAACCAAAACAATCAAGCTGCATAGTATAAAACCCAAACATGCATAGAGTAGAGTGGGGTCATAAATCTCCTTGGGTTTTTTACCTTGTCTGGCATATTCCACATTATATAAACTCACTTGAACACCCAGTAATAAAAACACTGTGCTTAAAGATATGCTTCAATAAAACTGCTGCCAAACTGGATACAGCAGATGATGATGATGCATTAATGTGGGTAGCCTTGACAGTGAATTTGCAATGAGCCCCACGCTTTCCAATGACACTTGGTCTGCTACACTTATTTGCCATCTTCAGTGGAATAAAATACATTTCATTAAATATAAGTGCTGCAGGTGAGTAAAGAACAAAAAGTGTACTGGCACAGAGCTGTGCACCTGCACAAAAATAGAGCCAATGTTCTTCTGCTGACTGTGACTCATTCAGGCGCAGACAATGCATCAGAATATGTTAAATGTCAAGATGAGTCATATTTCTTTGAGTACGGGTGATAGACATTTGCCTGGCTCTCTCAACTTTCCCATTATGGCACATATCATATAAAATGTAGGACAGCTATGCAAGCATGCAAATTAGTATTGTTCAGATTGACTTATTTTTGTTCCAACAGTTGTGAAAATCATTTCCTTTCAGGGTCTGTGTTTATTTTTTGCTTGTTTGCCAGAACTAAAGGCCAGCATTGACAGGCTCACTCAGACGCTCGAGGGCATGTACTCAGACAACAGTCTCTGCCAGGTAAGGCCTGCACACTCACCTAATTTAGCAATTCAATTACATATTTTACATTTGCAGCTGTAGAAAGTGAATGAACTGAGATTAGATTAAACTTTACTGATATCTACAGAGAAACAGAAAATAGTGTCATGTAAACAGGACAACAGGACACAAATAAGAACAGGTCAACTGAAAGCAATGTTGCAGTTCATGGAGAACAGCTGATATTAAGTTGGGAAGCTGGATTCCAGTGTTATTTCTCTATGTCTTTCGTGTTACTCTTAGGCCCCCTACAGACTCCATGCAGTGCTTGTCCATGAAGGCCAGGCATCAGCTGGTCATTACTGGGCTTACATCTATGACCATGCTAACCAGCGCTGGCTGAAGTACAATGACATAAGTGTCACTGAGTCATCGTGGGATGAGCTGGAGCGAGACTCCTTTGGAGGCATGACCAACGCAAGTGCCTACTGCCTAATGTACATTGATGACAGGCTACCTCAGCTCATCACAGGTACACCTACCTTTCAGTTATTTTATTTGTAAGAGGAAATGAGAGGAATGAAAGCAATTTTTGCAGAGCGTTCTCCGTTTACTTGATGCAAAGAGGCAGTTCAGAGGTTTCAGCTGCTCTCTCCAGTGCAAAGATTCCTTTGTCCAACCTTAATATTCAAGAGAGGAAGGCTATCAAACACCTTAGCAGAAACCAAAGCATCAACATACTATAGCTGACAAGTGGAGGTGTACCATTCAAGTCAATTCAACTGAAATATATATATTTTTTAAAACAAAGATTTATCACTTTGTTTATTAGCCAAGATTTATTTGAGATTTTATAGATTTATAAATGTATACCAAACTAGTACATTTCATTTACCAAATTCAAGTAAATTTAAATTTCACATTGTATTTATGAAACAAAATGCTCAGGATATCATAATAAAAATGGTTTGACAAGAATTCCTCATTCCAGTATTCAATTCAGTTCAGTTTTAAATAGCTCCAAATCACGACAATAGTGGCCCCAAGGCACTTTATATTGTAAGATGATGGATACAAGCACTTAGCGACAGTGGGAAGGAAAAACTCCCTTTTAACAGTAAGAAACCTCAGGCAGAACCAGGCTTAGAGAGGGGCTAAAGGTGAGAGGAGGGGGAGACAGGATAAAAGAGATGCTGTGAGTGTGCATAAATACATGTAGAGTGAAAGAAGAGTGAAAGAACGGTTATTAAAGAAGAAAGAAGACTCTGTGCTTCATTGCAAGTCCCCCAGCAGCAAAGGTCTGTTGTAGTATAACTAAAACATGTTTTTTTAAAGTCACCTGATCCAGCCCTAACTATAAGCTTAGGAAAGTTTTGAGCCTAATCTCAAAAGTAGAGAGGGTGTCTGTCTCCTGAAACTAAACTGGAAGCTGGTTCCGCAGAAGAGTGACTATTCTACCTATAAATACTGTAGTAACCACAAGCCAGCAGTCTGTGAACTGCTGAGTGGGTCTGTCGGGGTGATAGGGTACTCTGAGGTCTTTAAAATATTCAAGACCTTTTATATGAGGGGACACATCACTAGATAGACAGCATCACTTATGTATGTACTTATGTAAGTGCTGAGCAACGTTAAGGATCAAAAAATATGTTTTTTCCTGTAACTTGGACTTATGTAGTGAGATTCAGGAAAGATAAAGGAAACTGAAATGAAAACAATTTATGTATAAATTATATGGAGTTCACCCAGTTTAAGTAGTGGATAGATACTAGATACTAGAAACTAGAAACGCATAAACATTTTTCTATGCAAACATTTTAAGTATAATAGCATATTGAAATACCTATTTGTACAATGGATAGTAATATACATGAATTCAAATGGCATTACTTGAAAGGTATTAAAATGATAATAAATGACAGTTAATTTCCTAACTAAAAATGTCTTACATCCCACCCAGAAGACACAGATGATGAGACGGGCCAGGTGCTCCATGGCATGGACTCTCTGCCACCCATCCTCAGGCGCTATGTCCACGAAGATAACCGCTGGTTCCAGCAGGAGCTCAGCGAATGGGAGGAGCAGTTCTGCCAGACGGCAACCCCGCAGGAAGAGTCCACCGCCTCTGCAGAGCCCACAAGTCCCAGTCTGGATAACATACAGCAGTCACCTGTTGAGCCAGCACCACAGTCAGGATCTTCTACTGAAGAGGTGGATGAAGGAGTTGCTCCAGAGCCACAGCCAGACCAAGAAGCAGAGAAAGAGCCAGAACCTGATCTCAGAAAAGAGCCAGAAGGTCTGTAGTGATGCCTGAAAAAGTGAGAATGACATAAAATATTTCATCACCACTCTAGATAATGTGGAGATGTATATGAAACATGTAGTCACTGTAATTATGTTCACACCAGGGCAACTAAGCCAGTTCAATCAAATCTTGAACCTCTTTCAGGAGCACAATATATACAGGATGAGACTTAAGAAGCAGATTAAAACACAAAGTATTGTATATCTGTTCAAGCTTTAGCCTAAGGAGCCCAAAAACAGCAGTAGGCATTGTATTTAAAAACTGTATGGACCCAAAATATAATTAGCAAAGATAAGCAATTCTCAATAGAAGAAAATCTAATTCTACATGAAATATTGAACTAGTTGATTGCACTTCTTTGTCCAATTAAGCAGGTGTCAGTTATCACTTTCTCTCCAACAAAATCACCTCCCTCCAATGTAGTTTTATTGGCTGTGTAACAAGAGCCCATCAAAAATGTAATGAACACTTGTTACTGCAGAGCTTTCTTAACTCTAGACAGAAGTCTGCCCTCAGGCTGGACGAATAGACTGTATCATTGCTCAGACCTTCTAGGTGGGGTCTCTAATACCAGATGAGATTAGAATATATCCAGTAATCTAATTATATATTTAGCACTTCTTCTTTTCAAAAGACACATGTAGACTCAAAGCCTGTCTTTCTTTTTTTTGACCTTAGCGCAAACAGATTTATCTCCCCCACCACCAGAGGGCCCTGGCTGCCAGCCAGGTGATACCAGCACCCCAACAGTCACTGACACCACGGGGGTCAGCCAGAGCTCTGATTCAAATGAGAAGGAGCTGCAGAATCAGGTGAACAAGTACACGACACCTCGCTCTATCATTCCCTACCCTGCCATGTTGAATATGGGTCAGAAATTCTAGGCCACAAAAATAAAGTGCGTCCATCTGGGTCAGCGATCAGATTTCCCCAGTTAGCGTGGTGGTGACCCTTCAGGACTTATGTAGAGCTTGTTTAGAGACCTATTTAGATTAGTGTACAGATAACAAGTAGTTATTTGAAGTAACTTTTGCACTTTTTGTTGTGTGGGCCTGGCAGATCTCCATGTACTAAATAGAAGTGAAGAAGTTGAAGAAAGGAGAAGAAAGGAGAAGAAGGAGGGAGGGAGGGTGGGACACATAAACGAGAATGATCGGCTTGCAGAACTAGGGGGACCTATATAGATGACAGCCGGAAGGAGCGTGTTTGGAGGCGTGGTCCTGCTCCTGAAATTCCGATACATAATCTCCAATTGTTGTTAGAATTGCAAAGTACTGTAAATTAGACACACCGTTCAAGCCCGGTACTAGACTTCCAGAGCTTACTGGTATGCTGACAAGACCCCCAAAAGCTGTGAAAGCATACGCTGATATAAGAGAGTATATACTAACGTGTTCTATCTGAAAACTTTCTCTGTCAGATCCCTGGCCCTGATGTAGAGCTTTGCGATCAGACACCATCTGACATCCACGTAGAGAAGGACGACCCGGAGGTGGCCGGCCTCGTCTCTGAAGCTGAAGAAGAGCCCCAGGCTTCTGGAGAGGCTCCTGAACCTATCGCAGAGCAAAGCAATGAGGAGCAGCAGCAGCAGGAGGTTCCAGCCAGACCACGACAGACTGAGAATGAGGTCTCAGAAGTGGAGATCCCCAATGTGGGCCGGATCATGGTGAGGGCGGATGCTGACGGATACAATGAAGAGGTAAGGCCTAATGTCTTAATGGAGTGTGATTTAAGCAGTTATAAATACATACCTGCAGCTGATAGATTTCCTAGTCCGTGGACACAAATATAAGCTAAATGATCAAATGTAGGGTTAGTGTAAACGTTGATGGTATGTATGAGATTTAAAGAGATACAATAGGTTTTGAGTCATATATCATATATGTCATATGTTTTTTCTTTGTTTACCCTTTGGACTAATTATCTGTCATTTCATGGTATAATCATTCTCTTTTTTCTCTACATTGTCATGTCATTTCCCAGATGATGCTAACTCCAGCTATGCAGGGTGTCATTCTAGCCATAGCCAAGGCCAGACAAATTTTTGATAAGGAGGGTCCTGAGGCTGGCCTCATCAAGGTATTTTTTGTTAGGGATATTGATGTTCTTTTCATCTCACATCAACTCTAAATTGCAAAAAAATCTGTAAAAGCTGATTGATTTAGTTCTTTAAACCCAGATACTCATAAACTGTCCTTGGATCAACCCGTGCTCTAAATGCAGTTTTTATCTCTCTGCGAGACAGTTTTATTAAAAATCCACACAAAAACAAAAATGCACATTTTATGGGACTTTTTAGCTAGAAGTTAATCCCTGAAGGAATTCCTTTTATCCTAAACTGGAGGTTCTCTTGCAATAAGCTCGGGAAGCAAGATTCACTTTGCAGGGTGAGAAGCCTCTTGAAGTATTCTTTCTGTATTTGATAAAGAACTTCTATGAAGCACAGAGTTTCATATTTAAAAAGATTAACATCAATAGCAAGATCTGTATTTTAACTTTGTCGCTAAAGTCATGAAATCCCCATACTTCCTAGATTTTAAACAACAAAGAAAATACTTTAACTTGTGAAATGTGCGGTCCTTGTATAAGTCACACTGAGGCCTTAAAGTGTACAATTAATTAAATAAAGCATTAAAAACATTAAAAATTTCCCGTGGTTCTTTCAGGCTTTCCATGAAGAGTATTCGCGCTTGTATGAGCTCTCCGAAGAGGAGACCACACCACAGGAGGATGCACGTCTGCAGCACGCTCTGGTCTACTTCTTCCAGAACAAGGCACCCAAGCGTGTCATTGAGAGGACGCTGCTTGAGCAGTTTACTGACCGCAACCTCAGTTTTGATGAGAGGTGCACACAGTCCTTGAGTGGCCAAAAAATTTGGAACATAGATGAATTTTATCCATCCATATAAAACAGAGGCATTTCAAGGTTGTAGCGTGTGTGTATATACAGGAATAGGAGTGTAATACTGTGGCTGGGAAGCAGAATGGTAACTAAAAATACATTAGAATATATAGCATGCATATTGTGCCATCTAGTGTCCAGAGTTCAGAGCTGTAACTTTACAGTATTTTCTCTTTTCCATGCATTTGCTGTTAAACTTCATTTATCTTTTTTGGTACTTACAGAGCCATCAGTATCATGAGGGAAGCCCGGGCCAAACTTCGTCTCATTAAGCCAGAAGACATGGACATGGAAGAATACACGGTACCGTCTCTAGGCTGACCGGATAAAATGTTTGATTTTTTTTATGCAGGGAAAACATCATAAATATGCAAATAATGAAATTAGTATAATTTTCAAACAGATATTTGATGAAAAAAATGTCATTAGGTCCATGATGCAATATGGCAGTGATCTGTAACAGCAGCTGAGACTTGCCCCCAAAACAGAACAGGGGCAGACATCTGTTAAGTAGCTTCACTGGGTTGAATTTTGGTTCCACTGCAGAGCATCTGTGGAAAATTAGTGGCTCTGTTAACAGATTTGTGGCCAAATCACCTCATTCTTGCCTTTAATAGCAATAAAAGGCTAAAAATCCAAAAGTAAAAATAGACACCCTGCACTGCTCTCAAATGTCAGTTTTATTAAGTATTTTGCGTTTATAAAAATATTATTACATGGTTATCTCAGCTTTATGAAGGAAGTTTGTTTGTGTTCAGTATATTAAATCCCTAATCTGTGTTTATTTGGGTCTGCGTGGTTGACATTCCAGTAGGGAGCATGTAAACCCAGTGACATTTGTTCACACTGGAATGAGAACTATGTATGTTCCAGCGTGGAAAGACAGCTGGGATGGTGAAGACACCAGTCACAGACTGCAGTAATAAACTGTTTCTTATATCAAGAATATAGCATAAACCTAACACCAAACTTGTCTTTGATTAAATGATAGGTCTGGTGATATTCTCTATGTCTTTATATCTGTGCAGCCTCTAACAGTCTGATTTTACTTCTTTTTTTTCTTTTCTTTTCTTTTTACAAAATAGAAGTTTTTATTCAAATACTGTCAAGTGGAAAAAATAGGAGGAGTGTAAAAGATGGAATTACGTGATGGTGATATTTCTGTTTGCTCTCTCACAGCAGTGGCATGACGATTACAGGCTGTTCAGGACGGTCTTTGTCTATCTGTTGACTGGGCTGGAGCATTACCAGCACGGGAAGTAGGTGTCGAATATTCAGCACAACCCTACCCGATCGGCATGTGTCTGACCACATTTTTCCAGATTAATATATGGTTGTTTGTGCTCATTCGTGCGTTACACATAAAAAACAATCTCACACGTCACTGATCCTTTTGACACTGCCTATTAAGTTGTGAATTCTTTACACAGAGTAAAGATGCACTCATTTAAAGCCAGGATATACATACCAAAGAATAGTTAATGATAGTACAGTTCAGATATCTATATCCTTGAATACTATAACTTTAGTGTAACATAACACGAAACAATTTCTAAAAGCATTTTAAATACTTTTCATATGTTTTCAGATCTTAAAACTAAATATTTTTGCTTACATTTTGATTACATTGTGTGGGAAATAACCATTTCTTTTCTTACAAAAAGTGTATTTTTTGTGTAATATGATAGCAGTTGTTGCCTTTCTGTACTGCAGGATGCAGGAGGCACTGAATTACTTGGCCCACGCCTACGAGACCAACAGCACCCTGCTGCGAAACGGAGAGAAACGTGGTGTGGACAAGTCTCTCATTGCTGTTTACAGGAGGAAGTGTCTCACTGTGAGTAGGACTATTTTCCACTCTGTCGAATTGCAGCTAGATCGCTGAGCTCGATCCTTCTCTATAAAGTCTGAAATATCAATAAAGAAAAATGATCTAAAAATAAGAGGTTTTGGTTTGCTTAAAATAAGATGTTTGCGGATCATTAGAATCCATCCTCTGGGAGTGATCCATGTCCCCCTGACATTTTCTAAAATATATTTCTCTGTACCAAAAATGTGGATAGAAGGACTGACTGGCCAAGAGGGCCATATTTAGGAGAGGAAATGTTTTGATAAGCTGCGCTTGGTTTAGTTTCCCATTACAGCCCGTATAAAATCTAGTCGGACAGTATTAGAGCAGGAGTAGATTTGTTCTCTAGTGTATTGAATTTTATAAAGTATATTGACTTGTGACTATTAAACCCAGGTTCATTTATTCTTTTTTATTGGAAACGACGGTTCTTTAATTGCTGTTTTGCAGCTCTTGAACCTTTACTTTTAAAATGCCCTACATTTAAAATAGTTTAGTATCAACCTCATTTTGAATTTGATGGCAGCAACACGTCTCAAAAAAGTTGGAACCAAGGCAACAAAACGATGGAAGTGTGAGTGGTGCTAAAAAGAAACCGCTGGAGGAACAATTTTCACTACTTAGGTTAACTGGCAACAGGTCAGTTACATGATTGGGTAACTAGTCAGGCAGGGTTTCTCATAAGTAAAGCAGACAGAGGTTCACCAATCTGTAAAAAGAAAATGTGTCTACCAATTGTGGAAAAATTTCAGAATAATGTTCCTCCATGTAAAATTGCAAAGACTCGTGAAATATGACTCATGAAATATCATGAAAAGGTTCTAAAATTTGGAAAAATCTGAATGCCTGTGATTTTCGGGCCCTCAGGCAGCACTATAAGAAAATCAGGCCTGATTCTGTTATGGAAATCACTGCATGAGCTCAGGAAGACTTCCTGAAACCGGTGAACACAGTTCCCCATATTATCTGCAAATGCAGGTTAAAGCTCTGTCACGCAAAGAGGAAGCCATATATGAACATGATTCAGAAAGGCTGATGTTTTCTCTGGGTCACAGCTCATTTAAACGGACTGAGCAAAAGTGGAAAACTGTTCCGTGGTCATGGACGCCGCATCCTCTGGACAAAAGAGGAAAGGGACTATCCGACTTATCATCAGCACTCAGTTTAAAAAGCCTGCATTAGTGCCTATGGGATTGGCAGCTTACATATATGGAAAGGCTCCATTAGTGCTTAAAGATATATACAGGTTCTAGAACAACTTGTGCTCCCATCTAGATGACAGTTTTTTCAGGAAAGACCTTGAATATTTCGGCTAAACCGCATGCTGAATCTATTACAACAGCATGCTTCATGCCCTGCAGTCCAGACCTTAAAACAGCTGAAAACATTTCATAAGCATAATCAAATGAATGAGATAAAACAAGGAAGCTCAGGACTGTTGAGCAGCTAGAATCCTCTATTAGACAAAAATGAGACAACATTCCCAAAAGTTCAGCAGCTGTTTTCCTGAGATCCCAGATGTTTACAGACTGCTGTTAAAAGGAGAGGAGAGGGCTACACAGTGGTTCCGGTGCTTGTGATTAAAATATAGGGTGATAACATGTGCAAATCATTGTATTCTGTTTTTTTTAACACTTTACACAGCATCCTAGCATTTTCAGAACGGGGTTTGTACATATGTCCTGTCATCCACCACACAGGCACTGAATGAGAGCGCATCGCAGCTATTTTGTAGCGGTGAGGAGGCCAAAGTAGAAGAGGGTATTGCCATCATGGATGAAGCCGTCATCCCCTGCCTTCACCTGATGAACCGGGACTCGACTTTACCCCAGGAAGACCGAGATGCAATGGAGGCCATCCGCAGCCACTGGTGCTGCTGCCTGGGCCAAGATATGGATCGTAAGTTTAGATTGTACATAAGTCTGTACTGTCCAGCTCTATTATTCTTATAGCTGTATACATGCTGTCTCATATGATGAGCTAGAAGTTTTAATTACAGCGGCTCAAAAAGAAATAAATATATAAGGTGGCTTGCTGCCATGCTTTTTGTGCATTTTCTGCAATACCGACTTTTAGGATGCTTTTAGGTTGCTGTAGGGTTTGCATGAAAAATGTCAAAATACACTCAATTATTTTTTAACTTTCAATAAACACAAATCATTAATTTTCAGTTAAATGCAACTGAAATATATGAAAGCAAAGGTTTATTTTTTCGAATAATTCATCATTGAGGAAAATGTGCTTGATATAAACTGGATGTATACCAGTAAAGTAAATTTCATTTGACCAGATTCCATTAAAGTTTACATTATGACTTATGTAACAAAATTATATGGAAAATTCACATGTAATCAAATTACTTTAAGTCAGCATGTTGGTGCATCTTGAATAAATATTTTATGTGTATACAGTAGGTGAGGATCCCTTATTCTGAGAGTTTGAAATACATTTAAATTAAAAGGAATGTGGGACAGGGGCATAAAGGCTTATATTGAGTCAATACAGTATAAAGTTTGCGTACTCAAAAGTGCTTTCTTGGTACAGTAGGTGCACCCTTAGACGACATTTTGCTGTAATTACACACACACATTTAATTCTATACCAGTAACGCTGCTAGCTAATTAAAATTTAAACCTTAAATTGAAACAAAACTTCAATAAAGAAAATCAACAATAAACTAAGTCGCCCACTTCTGCTGCTCTTCCTTTGTGTTCAGACTCATTGCAGGTGAAGCTCGGCGAGTTGCTTCCCAGAGTTCTGGACGGTTCAGCCGACACAGTAGTGCTTAAAGACCCACCCAAAGTCCACGTCACCCAGGCCTACGACCTGTGCAGTCGTCTGGCTGCTGTTATGGAATCCATCCACAACACGTCAGTGGTCATTGTGAAGTGAAATCCCAACAACTCTTTTTAAACTGTGTATCTTAACTGAAAGTGTCCCGGCTGATGGTTTCTTGTCCACTGACAGACTGTAGGGCTGAGACATCATGTAGTTTTAGCACAGATTGTTTATTTTAGTATATCTGCTGTTTTGCATTGCACACTTGCCTTGTTCACATAGCAAACCCTGTGGGTAAATGATGGACCATGCAGGGCTGTCACCACACGAATACATAATTATTACAAGAACACATATCGTGACATTTTACCCCAAAAGCCTCAAAAAGAAGTCAATGTTCTTCTCAAGAATATTAAGGTATGCACTTTGACTGCTCACCATACGCAAACAGCTATAATGTGTAAAAGAGGTACAAACTGTACTTAAAATTTTAAGGACTACATCACAAGTTTATGCAAAAAGAAGCCCAAAAGGTTGCAGTATTGCTATGTTTTGCCTGGTATAAGATGGAGAACCAGCAACTCTAAAGCGGGGATTAGGTAACACCTAAATGTTTGAAACTTGTCTGAAGCTGTCTTTATGTTACCCGCTACAAAGAGACCGATAAAGATTTAAGTAGCTCTGACCATCTCAATTTACAAAACCAGCTCGCTGGAGAACAGTGAGGCATTGAAATTCTGATTGGTGCAAATGTTCATATATGGAAATGTTTAGCTGGGCTACCCCGTTAACTTGAAAAAGTGTTAACAGTTGTCGCTCAGCTCTGCAGTAAGTGACTGGATTGATATTTGGATTGTGAATATACGATGGGGCCTTTTTACAAGACTAAAAAAACCCACAAAATTTATACTGCACAGAAAATAATAGTGTTTAATAGATTTTTTAAAAATATATGTTTTATATTACTTTATTATCTTTGAAGGTCTATCTGTAAACGCTGTAAGCCTTTTGAAAGGAGACTTGATATTGGAAATCCCGTTTTGTGTCGCAGATGCAACACGTTATCGTGAATGAATGAGGATTTCTAGATGAGCTACTGTAACAGCCATTTTTGCCCACTGATTTCAGTCTTTCACTTGTGCTCTGTGATGATACAAATAAATGTTTTAAATACTCTCTGCGTGCTTATTATTGAGAATATTATTGTGACTTGTGTGGGCAGGCTTTGAAGCTGTTCCAGCTGTTGTTCCTTCCCAAAACCAAAGCAGCATCACAAACACCCAAACAGAATTAATCCGCCTCCGTCTTAAGGAGTTTGGCTGTTCCCCAATACGTATTAAAGAAAAATAAATCAATGAGAAGCAATGTTTTTTTTTTTGCATTATAGTAAACATCTTATTTTGGATAGATAGCACATATGCCATGTGTTTTAATCCACAGAAGATAATTGATAATACCCATTTCCGGGCTGGCTGCTTCTTCCAAGGAGTCATACTTTATTGTATTTTTTTTAAAGTTGCCTTGTGCACTAGTTGTCTTTATGCATATAAGACAAGGCTCTGTCATGGTTTGGTGTTTCAGCCAGTGGTGTTGGAGATTGATGGAATTATGAACACAGAAAAGGACCATCACATTTTGATCTGCCATGCAAAATTATCTAGAAAGTATCTGACTAGCAACAGCTTCAACGTGGCAGTAATCGCAAACACACTGCGCAGATGCAGTAAATGCTTACCTGGTTAAAAAAGACACAATTGAACACTATCAGCCATGGATTGGCCTCCACAGAGTCCAGAAGCAGTGTGGGATCATCTTGACAGAAAGCAGAACAAATGCAGGCAGCATCCAAAGAAGAGCTTTGAATCTCCTTCAAGACCCCTGGAGAACAATTCCTGAAGTTACTTTAAAAAAAAGTACAGGACAGCTTGCCTAAGACAGCCAGTTGCTGAAGAGTAAAGGTGGTCACACCAAATATTGATTTTCAA